ATTTTCAAAATAACATTTTTTCAACTATCCATTAAATATAATTGTGGAACAAATATATTAGGTAATGTTTAGTTTTTTCCATTTCGTATTTTTGCTAAATATTTTTGTTTAGTTTAAAAAAAAATTTAAAACTAGTAAAATTGGTTTGCACTATATATTATTAGCTAAGTTATTATTATTTTTTTAAATAACAACTGTATGAATACATTAACTAAATCAAAGTTGAAATTGAATCATCAATGGGTGACTGAATATTCGGTAATCGACTGAAATACCGTCCCCCAAATAACATCGTTACCAGATTACAAAATAAAATATGAAAATAAAAAAAAGCCATAGTTTAAGTGCATTACACTTGGAGCAATGAGATGATTATAAAATATAAATATATATAATCTTGCCGTGAAGAATTATCTGGCCTTTAAAATAGACAAATAACTTAATATTTTAAAGATTGCCAATTTGGCGACATTTTCCCACCTAGATGAAAATTATTATTATTTTTTCAATAACGGCAGGCTCGTTGTTCGCCTTATGCCGAAGTGTTGCCCATTTAACGTTACCCAGTGGCCAGGGCTAAAGAGAATAGAAGGGCTNTCACGCTGAGCTAACAAAAAAGTATTTTTTTTGGCGTCAGCTCTACGTCAACTTTCCGCTGACGCCCAGATAAGGCGCTAGTTCTAAGAAACCAGGAATTGAGCTAACAAAACAGTATTTTGTTGGCATTCACACACAACACAACGGAGGATAGCACACAGAGAAACATCCATGCCCTGAGCGGGTTCGAACCCGCAACCATCGGCTCCGCAGTCAGGCACGCTAACCTCTCGGTCACCTGGTCGGCACATGAAAATTATATAAATTACTGCCTTATTCTTAGTGTTTGCAAATTTTTATGAGCCCGAGCAATGCAGCATTGGAGTAAATTTTCAAATATTTAAAAAAAATTAGACCTTAAACGCTTTTTATTTTCACAAAACTGTTCCATTTTCAGCGCTGGCTTTAGATAGGCTAAACTCGAAGTATTAGTTATGAGTAATAGTTGTAAACTCACAGTAGTTATAAAAATAGCATATTTTTCGCAAAAAAGCATCATGCCATATTACGACAGAGCCTTCGAAAAACAAAAAGGCTTATTCTTCGAAAGTCGTGTTGTTCAAAACCATAAAAATAGCTTAGTACCGTTTACAACTAAGTTCCTAAAGTGTTACCTATATATCCATTCAGTTTTCAGATCATCGAAAAAAATAACGCTTCTAGTTCTCAGATAGTTTAATTATTAAAAAAGAATAGACAGAAAAATTATAGATATTATATTTAAAACTGACTGTCATCGCATGAAATACGGCCTTTTATGTGAATATGTTATTTTCATAACTTTGGCAACAGTTATTCGTACACTTAGGGGAAATTTAGTCAATCAGCGCCCTCTATGTTAATTTTGAAAACGCAAAACGTCATTATGAAAGGTAAAAAAAAAAAGAAAGAAACAGTTTCGTGATAACGAAAATCGTTGGTGAATTAATATTTTGATATTTAATAAGTTATTCTAACAATGTCTTTTCTGGGCTTATAAAAAATTCTCTATTGATCAGTGACTATTAATTTTTAACGATTTTGATAATTTTCATCTAGTTGTAAAATTCAGTTTTTAAAAAAGTTTAATGAACTTTTGAAATATTTAAGTTATTTACCTGTTCTAAAGCCCAGATATTTCTCAACGGCGCCAAAAAGAAAAAAAATAATAATAACTGACTGCCTTAAATAAATTCTGATCTAATGATCGGATCTTCGCGTTCTAGGACTCATTTTTAATGGTTCTATGGGGTGACCTCAAATATGCTAATTAATTAATGCAGACGATAATTTAAATTTCGGAATCAGACACAAAAACGTACTTTCTCTGAATAATCATACCTTTTTTTTGACTGATTCAGATTTCTGACCCCCAAGATATATGGGATATGATCCCCTATAGTGTGGTCTGAAGCAGGGCTAAAGAGAATAGAAGGGCTGGTTCACTCCTTTGAAGTAGGTCTCGCCGCGCCAATCCTCCGATTTTCTCTAGTGACGTCACTTTGGCGCAAAGCTCGCACTTTTACTTCAAGAACGGAGCGTTTGGCCTTACTAGCTCTAACTAATATTGGATCATTTCTTTTTGCGAGATATTCTAAGACATTTGTTATTTTCTATAATGACTTTCCTCAGTTTTTGCAGTGAATTTACAAGAATTTAAAACTATTATCGAAATGCCAGTTTGCGCGATTGCAACTTGCAAAAATTCTGATATAAAAACAAAAGGAAAAAGTATAATTTTTCGCGTGTTCCCTAAAGTAAATGAACAACTATGTAAAGAATGGATTCCGAAATGACACAGTTAATATAAAACAGCAATACGTTTATTCTGTCGTAAAGAACTTTTATAAAAATTCATTATCTAAATAGAAACCGCCTCGTTACTTCATAAAGAAAGGCAGGTGAAAAGAATTAAAAAATAGATAAAGTCAAAGAAAATTAAAATGTAAGTAAAAAGTATAAATAAAATATATAGTATATAGTTGAAATTCTCCTAATTTCATAACATATTTTTTAATGTAGTTATTCTAAATATTTATGATTTTTTTTAAAAATTATATTCTCTTAAATTTAAATATCTATAAATTATATCATCGTAAATTTAAATATCTATAAACAATTGTAAAATTTCTAATGTCATTATGAACCTAAATTATTATTTTGTTTCAGTAATTAGCGTTTAAGGTTGATGTTTCCTAATGATTAAGTATGAACAAATTGCTATTAACGGCATATTTTAAAATCGGGGATTCTAAATTTAACTCAACTTATTGTTATAACAGAATATGTAGATAAAAAAGTGTCGATATATGGTTTCATTTTTCTTAATAATTAAAGTTAAAACTGAACTTTTTAAAGTAAAGTATTTATAGTGTCATTTTCGCCAACTCGTAAAATATTTTTATAAGTTTAAAATGATATTTTTTTAATATAATGGCCAAGAAAGTTTTTTTAAACTATGTTTATGAGTGGAAATAATGTGTTAATTACGTAAAGTTTGAAAGCTAATAACCAGAAAAAGTCTAACTTATTTTTACAAAGAGAAAGATACGAAGTTATCATAATATCTTTGTGTGCGATCTTCCAAGATCTATTTTATTTAAAAATAATCAAAACATTTTGAATTGTTAGATATGCAATTTTTTACATCGTTTTAAAATATGTAACGTTACACAGCATAATACAAAATTTGAGAGAAATAGGTCGAATGGTCCCTGAGAAATCGAATTTTAAAAAGTCGTATATTTACATCATAAGAGAGGAAGGCAAAATTAAAAACCTATTTGATTGCCGAAGAAAACTTAAAGTTGGTGAAAGACGATTTGTAAAATATCAACAAAAAAAGGGGGAATCTGGCAATTAAATTGGTTTTGATATTTTTTAAAATATCGGTACTCTTCGGTTGGCCAGGCAAAATCTCCTAAAACTTTGAACCTCCGCCAACTCTTTTTTTTATTTGTTTACTATTTTTTCGTTTTATTTTTTTTAACCCTGAACAAAATGAAGGTTCTTAAAAAATTAAATGAAATATAAAAAGCAATAATTTTTTTAAAAAAAATTGATGTTGAATTTCCTCGCACCTGTCTAAATATCTTCCCTAAAAAGTGAGTCAGATTTTGAGAAATTTTATTCTTCCAACAACGAGAGTAAAGCTTTTTGACCCAAAAAATGTATAATTTCTCGATTTCACTTTAACCAATATTCTAAAAATATATGTTAAGTGTGATGATCACCAAGTAGACATAATGTAATATACAAACAATTATGGAGGACAATTTGCAATTTTCTGCCATCAAATTGTATTTAAAATTACTGTTAATAAATATTTTGATATTGTAATGGTTGGTTTCATTGCGTAAATATACGGAATTTTGTTAAGCGATTTCTGGAGATTATTGTCATAAAATCTTCTTGACAACATTGGCAGGTTTGTTATTTAATAATAAAAGTCGCTAAAACCAAAGCAAAGCCTAAGTTATAAAATGGAAAACACAACAAATAAATTTATAAGTTAAGCTGCGTGGTACTTTCTGATCAGACGGAAAAAAGGAAATTGAACTTTTTTTAAATTTTTTTTATCGTACCCATTTTTTTATTATATTTAATTTTTATGTGCTTAAAAAATAAAATGAAAAATATAAAATAGATAGTTAGCGGACATCTACATTTCTTGGCGACTTTTAGCTTGTTCTAGTGGTGTTGATGTGGTAACCTTGTTTAATACATTTCGATTAGCTGAACGCAAGTAAAAAATCATTAAATTATTTTGTCCTGCGCCAAATAAAATTTAAACAAATTCATTGTTTCAGAACAACAAGACGACAATTTTTTGCTTATATTTGGTAATAGTTCTTAAAGTAATTGGTAAGATCTGCAACCGGCTAACCGAAAAGTACCTGATATTATTTGAATATATATTCAAATAATATCTGCATATTATTTGAATATATTGCAGCTTCGTTGTTATTGCACGTTGGGGATTCGTCAAAGGAACAATCTGTCAGTAGTCACAAAAAAAAAGAAATGCTTTTAATTAAATACGATTTTAAATCTTTCTTGCATTTAAAACTTTTAGCTTTTTAATCGCATATACCTCTTTTATATTTCAGAAAATAATAAATTTGTTAAATACATCTTATTTATCGTAATTATATGAAAAACTTTTAATTGTTGGTGTATTGTTAGTACTTTTTAGAAGTGATGCTACAAAAAAATGACTACAAAACTTTTTTTAATACATTTTTAAAACTTATTGACTAAATATTTGTGGCTAAAACTTATTGACTAAATATTTGTGGCTAAAACTTATTAACTAAATATTTGTATTAAGAATTTCACAAGCAAAACTAAAGTTTTGAATCAATATACTTCAAATAAATATACAGACAAAATTATGTATATATATATATATTACTCGAGAAATGAAATTTTATTTTATAATCAAAAAGATTTAAAAAAAACTATGTTACAATTTGGTTAAAGTGGTTAAAAACCAAGTCCAAAACTTCATCAGCAGTTTCTCTTATGATATCAAAAGCGTGGTCGATTTCTTTTTTGGTCGCTTTTGGGTAACACACACAAAACCGTATAACGTAGTGATTTCCCAACGTAACATTAGTCAGAAACAATTTCTTAGTGCTGTTGATCTGTCTCAAAAGCGTGATATTCAAAATATCGCTACCTTTGAATCTGAAGCAGACGAGGCCGAACTCAACTTTGTTAAGAACTTCAAAACGCGAGTCATTTTTCAAGAGTGTTTCGAAATACTTCGCCAAATCGATGTGATTCCTTATAAAATTGCGGAGTTCCACTTTCCCGAACAGCCTCATGACAAACCAATATTTCAAAGCTCTGAATCGTCGGCTCAGGTGAATGCTCCAGTGTCGGTAATCGATGGCACTTTTATTTTCGTCATGCTGATGGTGCAGGTACAGAGGATCCACTACAAAACACTGACTCATTTTCTGCTTGTCTCTGATCCACATAGCCGTGCCCTCTGTGATGTTTGGCAACCACATAGCTGGGTCCATGCTGAAGGAAGACGCGTACTCAATCCCTTCTAACAAGTGCCTGTATTCTTTGAGGACTAAAGCATTTCCAGCATATGCCGCGTCAACGTGCAACCATACGTCATACTTTTTGCAAACGGGACCTAATTCGCTTAGAGCATCGCAGGAAGTACACGAATATGTTCCTAAAGTGGCCACGACGAAGAAAGGTGTCAAATCTTCTTTCAAATCGTCTTTTATGGCGCGTTCCAGAAGTTCTCCGGTTAGCTGGTATTTGTCGTTGGTGTCTAAAATTCTCAGCTGTACCAACGCCAAGCGAGCCACTCGTTCCACAAACGCGCGGCTCTCCTTAGAACAGTAAACAACCAGATTTGTCGCCAGTTTGGCTGAAACGGGCTCTGATTTTTCCTCACTTATTTTCAAGACCTTGTCGGTTCTCGCTATGAGGATGCACAGGAAATTCGCATCGGAGCAGGAGTTTTGCAGGGCTGCTCCTCCCTGGCTGTCCTTTGGGAAAGTCAGAAAATCTTCAGGCAGACCAATCATGTCGCCCAACCAATCCAGGATTATGGCTTCCAACTCCGTAAGAGCAGGGCTGGATATCCAACTGAATCCTATACTTGGCGCTCCTTCGGACAAAAAATCTCCCAAAAGCGATTCGTATGAGAATCCACTAGGAAAATAGCCGTAAAAATTTGGATGGAGCCAATGGGTCATCCCTGGCAGAATGACGGATTGCAAATCTTGCATGATACGATCCCAGTCTTCTCCTTTATTTGGAGGGTCTTCGGGAACCAGTTTTCTCATGTATCCGGGATCAACGATCGGAGTCACGGGAAGTAAAGACAAATAATCATGATAATTTGCAATAAATTCAATGACTTCTCTCCCTGCAGAGCGAAACTTTTTCAAATCCATGTCCGAATGATTCAAATACTATTCATGAAACAAACGATGTAGAGACGTTCTGAGTGTTTGTTTTGTAAACTGACTTGTAACTCACGTTGAGGAAAGAAAGCTTCCCGAATTCGTTAGTAGCGAGCTAGATCGGTTAATCGATGATTATGATGCAGTTCAGAATCAAGCTTAGACTTATGGACTTTCCATTTCTCTTGCGCATTTCTCCGCATGTCTGGACTTAATGAAACGAATCGCAAAATTTTTACAAACAGTTATGTGCGAAAAAATAATTATTGAAGTTATACTTCTTATGCGACTTCCAAACAAGGTTGCGTTAAACGTTTAACGCTACATTTTTATTGGCCGGGAAATCACGTGGTAGGATCCAGTTTTCCCTCTTCCATGTTGTTTTGGTTCTCACTAGCATAAAAATATTTAAAGTATTGTTTTTCTATAAATATTTTTTTAGTTTGTTTTGATACACATATAATTTAATAGGGTAGTATTTTTTTTTTTCAAATTTAGTGGATAACAATTGTAAAAAATGAGTGAAAACAATCCCACGGACAATGCGACG